CCGCTGCCCGCCCCCCCCCCAAAGCGCAGGACCCGGGGTGGTCGCCCTGATTTCCTTCCCCCTCCCCCGGGGACAGCCCTGTATGTTGCAAACATCGCTGTAAAGATTCTAATCCTCATTGTGAGCTATTTGAGGCAGGAACCTTGCTATATGTCTTTAAAGCATCCTGAACATTGCCAGATGCACGAGGATGATAATGGTAATAATTATCACTATAGGTTTTCCTCTTTTTATGCTGTATGTGCATTCCTGGAAAATGGAGCGTAACTTGAATTTGCATAAAGGGAACCCACTTTACAGTGCAACAAATAGGGATATGTTCCAAGACCTTGACTTTACTGACTCCCAGACCCATTTCTTCCACTTTTACAAGGCAATTTTGGTATTCACCAACAGCAGACAGTACACACAAGCATAGGGTGGTGGTGAATGTTACCATAATGGGGATGGCAACTACAGAAACTCATCACAGACCATGAGCAAGGAGATCCACACACAAGACTATATTTTGGTGTGTTCCTCCCACAGTGTGCTGCACAAAGCAGCTGACTGCGGGCTTCCACCACACTGATCCAATAAGAGTGAATTTACCTTGCATATAAAGAATTTTTGGTATAAAGAGGGTCATCGCATAAGTGAATTTGCACATACAGAACCCGCATAAATCAAGGGAAACCTGTATTGTCTTAAATTACTTATGAAGTGTTCCTTGATGAAGCTGAGTATGAAGTGAGTATGACAGACAAAAAACTAGAACTCTTGGTTCCAAAATGATACCTTTTATTAGACCAACCAAGATATCGCAAGAAAACTATCCTTTTCTGCAAGCTTTTGGGATCAAAGTGAGTATGAAGCTTTTTTTTTGATGAAGGAGAGAACTTCTAGATAAATTAACTCTTAAAAAAATCAATCCTTGTCATTGCAGTAGCAAATTTAGAAATATACAGTATGGTCTCTGAGGCAAGATAGCTTACATTCTTTTGTTGCTGCTTGCAGCTTTGCTACTGCTGGACTAGGAACAGCTGCGTTAACAAAAGGAATGCAAAATTAGCACTGCTGTTGTTGGCAAAATTATCTCCAAAATTGGCTACTGTAGTTGTTAGTTGTATATCTGGCCCGCTAATACAATGACTGAAGGCAGTTCTTCAACATTGCTGTTTTTAGTCTTAGCTTGGTGGTAGCAAAGGTTTAAGAGATTTGATCTGGTAGGCCTGGGTTATGAGAACTGGCTATATTCTCCCCTGCCAGAGTACAGGGAAAGGGTCTACCAGTGAACAGGTGTTGGGAGAAGAACTTCTAGTTCTTCTCCCAACACCTTCTTCTGATACTCTTCAATGTCTTCATCAGCGACTTGGATGAGGGAGTGAAGTGTACTCTGTCCAAGTTTGCTGATGACACAAAACTGTGGGGAGAAGTGGGCACGCCAGAGGTCAGGGAACAACTACAAGCAGACCTGGACAGGTTGGACAAGTGGGCAGAAAACAACAGAATGCAGTTCAACAAGAAGAAATGCAAAGTGCTGCACCGAGGGAGGAAAAATGTCCAGCATACCTACTGCCTAGGAAATGACCTGCTGGGTGGAACGGAAGCGGAAAGGGATCTTGGAGTCCTAGTGGACTCCAAGATGAACATGAGTCGGCAGTGTGACAAAGCCATCAGAAAAGCTAGTGGCATTTTATCGTGCATCAGCAGATGCATGACGAACAGGTCCAAGTAGGTGATACTTCCCCTCTATCGGGCGCTGGTCAGACCGCAGTTGGAATACTGCGTGCAGTTTTGGGTGCCACACTTCAAGAGGGATGTGGATAACCTGGAGAGGGTCCAGAGAAAGGCCACTCATATGGTTTAGGGCTTGCAGGCCAAGCCCTATGGGGAGAGACTGCGGCACCTGGACCTCTTCAGCCTCCGCAAGAGAAGGTTGAGAGGCGACCTTGTGGCTGCCTATAAGTTCATCACAGGGGCACAGAAGGGAATTGGTGAGGTTTTA